CTTGTACTAACTGTGAAACAAAAAGGCAACGGCGGAAAAGGTGATGAAAGAAACTCTGTTTACCTCTGTTTTTTGGATCCAAACAAAATATTTGAATATTAATGTCACTTATTATATTATATTTCATAATATAATATTACATAATTTTATAAGACTCATACCTCCTAGGTAATTGTACATCAAAATGTGATTTTGATGAATACAATCCAAACAAAACTAGCATTCTTACAATCACTTAAAAAAAAAATTCCAAACAAAAATCACGACATATCAACAACACTTTTTATTGATGTCACTTGTCAAAAACATGATTATTTATAATCTCATTTGTTCATTTACAAACACAATCCAGCACTAAAATGTATGCAGCCTCTTTTAAATACTCTTATTTGCGCTTTTTTTTAAAAAAAATAAATTGCTGAAGTGGTGCTTCACCCGCAAAGACGAAAGATTACAGGGAGTGCAAAAACCAAAGGAAACATGAATCAAAGCAGGGACTGGTAGAGCTTGATCTTAATTAAAGGCAACTTGTAAACAAGATTAAAGTGACAAAGCTTGATCTAATGATTTGCAATATAAAATATTTTAGTGAACGAAGCGTGAGGATGAAAAATAATGTCCTTCGTAGCATGTTCGAAAGGGCAAAAGCCAAAGGACAGGTGCCTGAATCATTGAATTTGAGTTACATTGAAGAGCGCACAAATTAGAAATATAACGTTACAAGCAAAAAGGTTCATCCAACCGTTTTGTTATATAAACAAAAATGGCAGAGGGTATTTTGGTAAAAAAAATAATTTCTTAGAAAATAATTTAGATTTTCCATCGGTATGAGCTTGGCTTCCAAGCTCCATCATTTGATGGAAACTGGCTTCCCAATAAAATCGTGTGATGCTAGTTCTTAATTTCTATTTTCATTTCCGTTTCTATTTTTTTTAAGAAAATATGCAAATTCTAGCGAGCTGAACACTAACAGAGCTTTAGACAGTAAAACTTCGTAATGTCATATCGAGATCATCGTAATCACACGCTTGATTCTATGCATTTACCTAACCAATAATTAATCACACCAACACACATTAATTTAAAGTTACTTTGCATTGATATGATATGCCTGTGTACCTCGTTTTGAAACTCTTGGGCAATCTTTATTTGATGTCTTTGAATATCACACACACATACACGCACGCACACACAAGATTAGTTGATTACGCAAACAAATTATTTTTTTTTTCCCAGCTAGAAGTCTATTTCCTAATGCAGCTGAGCTTGTTTATTGGATATTCTTACTGTTTTTTATTTAAATCTTGTTATTCTTTAACTTTTGTTTGTTAACGTTTTATTAGACATATTTAACTTTTTTTTTGTTAAAAAAATTAAGCATCAGGTGGCAGCAACTAATTGGAAAACAGTGAGAGCTGAAAGAACTTTAGTGATTGGTCCATTCAGAACGAAACTACTAATTTGCTCTTGTAAACTGACATGTCAACCAATGTTTAAAATCACTGTCTCTTTTTTATTTATTATTATTATAAGTTCACGACAAAAGTGTGGAAAGATATTGAGATTTAATCATGTTTAAAATCATAAAGTTACTAAATCATATGAGGAACATTGAAAATCATGATATCAAAAGTTAACTCATGGGCTAAAATGTCGGCGCCTCTATTTGTTTATCTATAAATGCAGTCAAAGGTGATTATTTAATCTCTTATGATAAGTTCATTGATTTTTCTGATAGTATTCGATAATGGACGACTCTCAAACTAGGAGCGGTTAATGAGTGATAGTACTTTTATCAAATTAGAGTAGACATTAAGTTTAGGCTAGTTCGCATTCCAATAAATATTAAGACCTTTAAAAATTTTCATTAGTTCTGCTGCTACGTTAGGTTGATATTCTAAGTATTTGGAAAATCCTTTAATCTAATTTCTTTTATCATCTCTGATAATGCCCCCGCAAATTGTTGCACCATTAATGCTAGTAAAGTTGACTATGTCAAGTCTAACCTGTCTATATTCAGGTGGGCTCCATTTAGTGCTATTTGTATAGTCTCTTTTGCCCAAGTAGGTAATTTTAGATAAAAGTTTCAAATCATTGTTTATTTATTGGGTGCTAGAGAAGGCGATATTGTTGTCTAGGATCTCATCTTTTGAGCATAATTTCTCGCATCTATCTCCCCAGATATTCTATAAGCTTTTGCAAAGAGTCTCTAACAAGGCATTCTTCTTGTTTTCAAGCTATTTGCTTTAATATTTGTATTTTAAATTATTCAATCCTACACATTAAGAGAGAATAAGGTGTTAAGATTTATTGGATTAACTAATTTTAACCAAACCTCTTTAATTTTCTCACAAACACGTAAAATATGAATTGAAAAGTTAAGAAAGTTACAATCAAGAGGATGGATACATTGATGGAGAGTATTTTTAATTGTATGTTTGTGGCTGAGTTGGAGATGATTCAAAGCAACCCTTTATAGGAAATATTTTATTTTTTTCATATGTAAGCCATTTTTAAATTTTAGTTCATATACCAGAGTGAGGTTGTTCCTAATGGAATTCTATGACTTTATAAGCAAGTTTGATTGAAAAGTTGCTATCAGAGAAAGGTCTTCAAAAAAAGGACATCTTTTTCACCTTGTTAGTTAGGAGATTGCACAAATGAGATTTTTTTAATCACATCAAGGTAGAGATAGCAACTTAAAAATCCATGTTCCATCCTCTTGTATTCTTGCAAAAGTCAAAAACCTTAGCATGAAGAATAGAATCTGCATTGAGAAACACATGCTTAACAAGAAGGGCAAGGAGTGGAGACCATTTATCATATCAAAAGAATATTCGATTTTCTTTGTCAGTTTTCCCACCTACATGAGTCATGAATATATCTCAAACTTTACCTTATGAACGCTACTCTAAATATAAGAGCAGATGTTTGGTTTAACAATTGCCTCTTTAACAAATCGGTCCCTCCTAATGATTCATTCCATTGTCCTCGCAAACTCTATTTGTTTTTTCCATGTAAAAAGTTTATATGAGTTAGCCCAAGTGTGTTCAAGGCCAAGATATAATTTCAAAACTCAGGTGTTTATAAAAATATTTATAAATTATTTTTTAATAAAATTTTTACATTAATAACAAGATTTATACGCACGATTTTGAGTTATTGATCAAGTTTTTATTAACTAAATGAATTTTTATTGATAAGTATATGTGTTCTTAGATAAATGGCCTGATTCATTGTTTTTAATCTTAACTTTTGATCTAACAATTAATTATAACTGAAAGAAAATATTGCTCCTTTTTATTAAAGATTCAATCCTTTAAGTAACATATAAGGGAGTTTCATATACACGCAACCCTCACTCACTCAATATACACAGCGCACAGCATTTAACTAATGCATCTACAAACTTAAATACCCCAATATTTTTTTGGCCAATGAGAGATAGAATCTACAACCCCTTATATTGATAGGAAGGTACATGCATGAACCAAATGTTTCTTGATAGCCCTTGGTTGTCTTACTTTTGCTAAAATTATGATTTTTTTTAAATGTTAAATCAAATGCACATGGACTCCTAAAAATACAAATTTTCATGCTTTGATGATTTTAATCATGTTGTTTTTCAGATGTAATTATATGATATTTCGTTTGGTAGATTGTTCTGGGTTAAGTTTGAGTATTTTCATATCCGCATAAAAATAGAGAAATAGCTCTCATAAGATTTTTTTTTCCCGTCCACGAAAGTCATATTTTTAAAATCACTTATTGGTATGTTTAAAAAGTAAAAATATCTGACGGCCGAAAAAAAGAGAGTAAAAATACCTGAATTTAAGATAATCAATGTTAAATCTCACTGTACAATAATACAAATTTATACTTTAAAAAAAATTATACTGCCTCTCACCTAAATTATAAAAATTTAATATTTTAAAATACAAGATACTTTAATAAAAATAAAATTTTATTAATAATATTTATTTAATATTACTTTTCTTATATATTTTCTCTCTTTAATATTCTTTATGAAATGTTAAATAAAATATATTTTTTAAAATTTATATTTTTATATTAAAAAATAAGGTAATAAAAATATTTAATAAATAAAATTTTATTTTAAAGTATTTTATAATTTAAGATGGAGCCAGTATATATATATATATATATATTTTTTTTTTTAAGTTTAGAAATGAAATGAATACAGATGCGCGCGCGCAAATCAAGACACCCTGGGACAATGCATATGATTTTCGCCCATAATATTTGTCAAACAAAATATCGAGATTTTAAATGTCACTCCCATCCGAAACACCCAAAAAAAAAAAAAAATTCCCCTTCAATAATTGAAATTGGATTCAATAATTGAAATTGGATTAATGCATTAATGATGATGCGAGGCAGTTTAATAATTATAATAGATAAAATATAACTTTAAGTTTTTATTCTCATATTTTACTGTTGATCTTTATATTTTGCTGTTGATATTTTTGGTTCATATACTTTTATTTTTTTATTATTTTAGATTTCTTAAACATTTTTATAATTTATTTATGAAAGAATTTAAAATAATAAAAAAATAAAAATATATGAATAAAAAATACTAAAAAAAAGAGAGAAAAATTGATAGTAAAACGTGAATAAAGCATGGATAAAGTTATGCTTTTCCATTATAATGTACTATGAAATTCTTCTGAACACATCAAAACGATGAAGAAATATATGTCTTAGCAAATTACAGAGTTTATTACATGCTCAAACTGTAAAACTGTGAGGTCTTGAGCTTCAGTTCTATACATATAAACATAATTTTGGGAGTTACTGCTCCAATTTATTTGTAATTTGTGGATCAAATTATGAACAACATGCAATTATTGCGAAGAAAATGCCAGGAAATCACGGCTTCGAGTTTCAGCTTTCAAGTGATTTTCCAACTGTAGCATCCAATTATTGCTCTAATGTCGTCTTGGATTTCTCCAACTGGGTCGATGATCCGGCCCGAACATTTCTTTGTAATCTCGATTCTCGACTCCGCATGTAGCATATAGAAATTAGAAATTGGAAGTTTTGAGGACTATAAATTAAAAAACGAAGCACGGGCGAACAGACACAGGCTCCATTTTAACAAATTAGCACAGTCGCTTCGATCCATTGAAGCTCCCAAAGGCCTCTGCTGAAGGAGGAGGCCTCAACTGCAGCTACGTTCAAGGACAAGGGGGGACATACACTCTCTCTGGGAAACCCATGGATTTGACGGAGGGATCGACGGCTTAAACCCGCGAAAGCTAAGCTCCCTCCTTTCTCCCAATCTCATTTATGGGTGAGTTTGAATCTCGATTATCTATCTTAACCCGTACGACATTCCAATGCGATGAAGATTTGGGAACTATTAGAAGCTCACGAACCCGAAATCGAATCCTATATGTGGGCGGCGTTATTTCGCTATCCTTTGGTTTTCGCCAGTGGAAATTTTAGTGTTATCGCGCATTCAGTTTCCGCTGGGTGGTCACTTTAGCATCCCACTTCCACCGAACAAACACCTGACGTCCACTCCTGCTCATATACTTGCCTTTAGTTGAAGAGCTTCATTGCATTGTGTTTTCTGTTGTTTCCTGTTCTTAAAATGAATTTCGATTCTTTTTTACCCCTTCCCGGAACCTTGGTTGCGGAAGAATTGGAGTTCGATGGTTTTCTTGTGTGCACTTATTTGAACATTACAGTGATTGATCGATTTATTTCTTACAAACGCTATTCCAACAATGGTTAGTTGTTTGAATTTCCACGTACGGTCATCGTGTGAACGTTTAGCTTGATTTAGGTGGTGCGCTACGAGGAACGTGGTGACATGCGGATACTCATATGAACTATATGCCTTAGTTGTTCTGTTTGGTGTTTCAGATGTATGTATAGCTAGTGCATGAGGCTTTGAAAGTTGCTCCTCAGAATGGTGGACGCGGCAGGTTTGGCTGAGGCAGCAGGATCAAGATTCAATTCACTGGAGCTAATTGGACAGGGATCATTTGGGGACGTTTATAAAGGGTAGGTATTAAATTTTGGACTAGTACCTTGTTACTGGAAAATAAAACTTGAGATCTTTTTACATTGAGTTCAAAGGAGTACTTCTAAACGCGCCTTGCCTAACCAGTGAGTTTTGCTAGTAGTTCTGTGAATTTTCCATCTTGCTGTTTCTGCAGGTGCAATATTCAGGATCAATATTGTTTTATGATAATTTTAAATTTGCTTCTAAATGCTCATTTGGTGCCACAAGTATAACATTAGTTAACTAGTGTTTGCTGTGCTTCCTTATTTCCAGCTTTGACAAGGAGCTCAACAAGGAAGTTGCTATCAAAGTGATTGATTTGGAAGAATCGTAAGATAATAATTTATACTCCTTGTTGTACAGACTGTTATTTTGCCGATTCCTTTCCTTGTTAGAATATTCCACCGCAGTTTTCTGCAAGATTGGCATATAGGGACATCAACTTAGTGTCTCAGAATTATGTGTCTTAAACTGAGTGGTAAAAGGGAGAAGAATTTAATTTCTCCTGTATTTCCTTGATATGCTCCTTTTACAAGAAGGGTGAAATCTGTATTTTTTCTATAAAGACGATGATGAGTTTGATTTTTGCTAACATTTGACTCTCATGGTTAACAAGGGAAACTTGAAGGATTAAGAGCTACTTTGTATTGATATTAGTTCTGAATTTGAAGGGAGTGATTGGACGTATATGCACACATGATTTTAGCAGCTTCTTGTACACAGTGTAGAACTTACTGGCATATGTATAGAATAGGATTATGATAACTTTTAGGTTTTGATGTTGCTGAAGAGAAAAGCATCTAATGCGTACAGGCTTCAATTATTCTCAATAGGGAAGAACTAGTACCTGGGTCCCTGTAAGAGGTGCTGCGGTGAAGCAACAAAGTTTCAGATCATTCCATATCCATCAAATTTACTGTTCTTTATTACAAGGCTGAACATTGTTAATATAACTCAAAAGTTTTCTAAACTTTTGTTACGCTTTTTATGCATTGCACATTCCTAGAAAGTTCACTGTGCATGGTAAATTATGGGGCATCATGAAGTTGGAGAACTTTCCTGTTTTGGATGTTGGGAGTACTTATATAATTCTTTTTTCCCCTTTTATGTTCAGCCACATTGCACTAAATTTTTTTTCCCCGATAGAATATTTCTTGCCATTCTTTCTTAGTAAGCTATTTTATAACAAACCTTTTTATTTTCTCATGCAGAGAGGATGAGATTGAAGATATTCAAAAGGTATTGTATGAAATATTCCTTGTACGTGACTTTCACAATACCTAAATGATTAATTATTTCATCAATTTATTCTTTGGCAGGAAATTTCTGTTCTGCAACAATGCCGATCTCCATATATTACTGAATATTATGGTTCTTATCTCAATCAAACTAAACTTTGGATAATAATGGAGTACATGGCTGGTGGCTCTGTTGCTGACCTAGTAGGTTACTTCTGTTGACTTGATTCTCTATGTTTGATGCATGAATCTTGTTACTGTTTCTCCTTTAATGTTTACTTGAAGTACAGTTGCTGACTGGAGAAAATGGTTACAGATGATTAATTTTCCCTATAAATTCATAAGTCTGCAACAGGACACCCTAATTGTTGATTACTGTTATGTCATCAAATTTGGTTCAAATCCCCTGGGGAGCAGGGGGGATGATTTGCACGCCCTTTGTGGAGCCTCTGATGGACCAAAGAAAGAGTGTTGATTGAATTGTGTGATGTTTATGTTCAATGAAGAACAAATAAGAATTTAATGTTTGTTGTTGGTATACATCATTTACCTATGATTTGATATTGTTCCACCATGACCTTTCTCATCATTTTGGCTATGTTTCGTCTTATATACTTAAATATTCTTTTTTTGGGTCCTTTTTGTCTCATTTGTTTTCTTTATTTGTTTTTTGTGAGGGATTTTTTCTCCTCCATTTGTTTTCTCTGCTTCCTTTTCTTTTCAAATTGTTCATTTTGTTATCAAGAAAAAAACTTAGGTTTGCATGATCAAAACTTATTTTCTCCTTTAGTTATCATTTGCATATTTTTAAGGGTGAGTTTACATGTTGAAATATGGTATGAGGTATGCTTTTCTGTGGAGCTAACTTTTCCTCCCAATTGTAGCTCCAATCAGGTCCTCCACTTGATGAAATGTCAATTGCTAGCATTCTGCGGGACTTGTTGCATGCAATTGATTATTTACACAGCGAAGGAAAAATCCATAGAGACATTAAAGGTATCATCCCTATTCTTGTTGCTATGCTTTTGAGCTGTTTTTGCCTTTCCCAATGCAGTTTCATAGTCATGGACTTAACTCCTTTTGTTTGCATTTAGCTTTATTGTTGACAACATTTACCTACCAATTTTGCAGCTGCAAACATTTTATTGACTGAGAGTGGTGATGTGAAGGTAGATGTCTTGTTCTAGGAGATCTTAATCGTCCAATTTAATTATAATTCTTTTGATAGGCAATGGCTTTATTGAAAAATGACACACTTGAATATTTCAGATTTTGAGTTTCATACATTTGCATATAATATTTGATTTTTGTGATTCATAGGTTGCAGATTTTGGCGTTTCTGCTCAGTTAACAAGGACCATATCAAGGAGGAAGGTAAACAGGTTTTTTCAGATGGCTTATTTGATCAAGACTTAATTCTGTGTGTTATTTCGAGCTCTCTACTTTTCTGCCATTACTTTATATAAGGTTGTTTGTAGTCTAACAATATGTATAGGATTGGTTTACTTGTACTCTTCATTTTTCACTGCATTTGCTAATTTCTTTGAGAACAACAGACGTTTGTAGGAACCCCATTCTGGATGGCACCAGAGGTCATTCAAAATTCAGAAGGATATAATGAGAAGGTTATCTCAAAAGTTATTTTTTAAATCTTTTGTAAATTTTTTGTAAGCCCATCTTTTGATTGTCTCTTCTTTCTACACTCCATTTAACTTGTCTGCCATTCTTCTTAGACCTCAAAATCATCACCAACCATTCTGTTTGTGCAGGCAGATATCTGGTCTTTGGGGATCACTGCAATTGAGATGGCGAAAGGAGAGCCTCCACTTGCTGATCTTCATCCAATGAGAGTGCTTTTTATCATACCCCGAGAGAATCCACCCCAGGTTATTTTTTACATCCGACTCATTGATCTTTCTTGCTTCTAAGTTTTAACTACCTTTTGAAAGTTTTCCAGCTAATGTAGTTCTTCCCAGTTTCGGAGTTGATTGTTAATATTCATATGTGCAGCTGGATGAGCATTTTTCTCGTCCCATGAAGGAATTTGTTTCTCTGTGTCTAAAGAAAATTCCTGCTGAGGTAAGTATCTATGGCATCCACATGCCTACTGTTGTTTCATTTTCTTTCCCTTGACTGCATTTTTAAGTTTTATGTAGTGCTAACAAGGAAGTTTTGTTTCTGCTTTTAATTTGAGTGCGAAAGGCTAATAGAATGCTGTTCCAGGGTGATTAATTACTTGATTCTGTTTATGAATCCTATGAGAGTTGGAAAACAATCTTCATGTTATCAAAATTCATAATCAATATGCTTGTTTGTGACGTCTTACATCTCTTCCTTTCTTTCTTTTTTGGTTGAATTTTATATTTTAATATTCCTGGGACAGGGAAGGAAGTAGTCTTTTGTAATATGTCAAGTTTGCCTCCAAAATTAAAAATAATGGGGATAATTTATTGGTTTGATTGAATTTGTCCTGTGGAAATCATTATCTGACAAGTAGGTGCTCTATTCTTTTTTTCTTCCCCCCTTTTTGGGTTGTGTTTTTTTGGGGGGGGGGGGAGGTAGGTGGAAGTTAGTCCCTTTTCACCTCTGCTGCAATTACCCTGTTTCTAACTCATTCAATTTCAGAGGCCAAGTGCTAAGGAACTTCTCAGACATCGATTTATTCGGTATGCTAGGAAAAGCCCCAAGCTTTTGGAGAGAATAAGGTACAAACATTGCTATTAATTTTGGTTCATTTCATATATATGTAATTGACTAATTTTATTTATTTTACTCTGGCTTTTATTTTTTTTTCTATTTCTTTTTCATATACTTTAGAACTTTTTTTTTTTTGAATGGAAACTGAATACTTCAATAAATCAGAAAATGCATTTACAACCAAGGAAAGCTAACAAGCTAAAAAAACACAAACGCAAAACTAAGAAGGACTTCTTTCATTATTCTCCATCTTCAAGAAAAGATGGGTTATGATCAAAGATACAAAAATCATCCTGTAAACTATGCCCAAAACTTGCTAACCTATCAGCTAAAACAATAGAGTCTCTACTTTAGAACTTAAGACTAAAGACGAGATATGTCTGAAATGGTGGATGACCCCTTTTTTCATGTCCAATTTGTCGCATGTTTTCCGTGAGTAGAAAATCCAAAATTAAAATATTATTGCCCAGCTTGTGGTTAACATCCAGCTTTTCATGATAGGGAGCGTCCCAAATACCAAATAAAGGAGGATCAATCAACACCTAGAAATGGCCCAAGAGGGACAGGGGAGGGATCTGATACTATGAAGGCGGCAAGAGATATAAGAGGTGAAGAAGCTCAAAGGCCTAGGTAGGTTTTTACTGTTTCTTTAAACTCTTCTTGCGTATAAAGAATTTCTGATAGAGTTTTTCTAATTTGCAGTGGTCAGGGTAAAAGCGTTAAAAATGCTGGATGGGACTTCAGCATTGGTGGATCACAGGGTACTGGAGCCATTCGCAGTTCACGTCCACCTCATAGTCCAATAACTGTTCCTAATCAAAGAAAAACTTCAGAGAGTGGCCATCCAGGGGCATCTGCCTACAGAAGTAGACTGACTGAATCCTCAGAAACTACATCTGGAAAAGATGCTAGGGCTCCTTATCATGATGAGCACAAGGGCAATCACCTGAACGATGTAATTGACTCTCTTACTATGTAGCCTCTTTATCCTTGCTGAAGTTTTCTTATTAACCGTATAATATATCGGGTATACACATGTCAAAATGAGGAAAATTTGTGCCTCCTTTGGTAGTTTCTAGAACACATGGTTAATAATTAAAGATGATTCCTAAACTTAGAACTGCTTGTTTCTTAGATAATTTGACTTTTGAGACTATGGAATATTCAATTTTCATTCAGTATCTCTGTCTATTTGGCAGATGTATGAACAACTTAATGTCTGAAGTATAATTATTTAGACATTTAGTGTGTTCACCAAGTCAATTATTATGCTTGAAGTTTCAGTCACTTGTGTAGGAAGGTGAAAATACTAAATTTAAATAAGCATGGATTTAAACCTGCACATTATTTCATCTTCTGAATTGTTCAAATTGCAGGATGAATTGTCTGGCAATGAATCAGGGACAATTGTCATCCGATCTCCGAAAGGATCACATCAATCATTAAGTCGTGACCATAGCTCTCTGGTATTTTTTTAATCTGAGCTGCCCAAATTTAGCACTGTTCTATATGGTCACTTGATAATAATTTTTTGTATTGTTTAGTCTAGCAGCAGCTTTTTCTCTCTTGAAGATGCTTCTACCAGTGGAACTATTGTTTTCCGTGGTCAGCATGATGATTCTGATACGCAGACAGCAAGATCCAGACTGGGTCTTCAGGAGAGAACTTCAAATGCCTTTCTAGAGGATAGTGCTGCAAATCTTGCTGAGGTTCTCTTTCTGATATAACAACTTTGAATTGCGGGGTGTTAAAAAGCTGGGCAAACTGGATCTTTAATCCTTTTCCTTTTCTTTTTACCTTGCATTTGGCTACTAGTAGGATTAAAAGGAGGTGTGGGAACCCACCCTTAAAAGTGCACTCAGGGGACAAAAACCACTCTTTTAAAGTACCACACCGACCATTCTCTGCTACTTGATGTGGAATTTAGACATCTCATACCACCCAATCCATATCAATTACTTGCATAGTTACATTTCTTTATTCGTATATGCTAGCTTCTTACACATTTGGTAGTTTATTTGCATCTTAAATCACCTTTGCAGATGTCTGAAATTTCTACTCTTTGTTCATTACTTCGTTTGCATGTTTATTATGGGAGACTTGACATTTTTGTGATTACTCAATGAAACTAATATCATTTAATTTTTATTGTATGTGGTTTCTTAATTTGCTTCCCTAGGCAAAAGCTGCTATGCAAGCAGGATGGAAAGGGAATGCCCGAGACAGATTTGTGGTGGGAAAGATCAATAATGATTTGCTAGAAGGCAGGAGAGACCAAGCAACAGGCAGCCCTGATTCTTCTAGGTGCATCCATTATCTACAACCATAAAATGGTAGTTAAAATAAGGATGTGATGATAAATTCTGGAAAATTTTCTCTCAGATTATCTCGTGACTATGTGGATGCGCAAAAAGGAATTTTAAGATCTCACCATCCTAGGGATGACGAAGGAAGTGCCAAAATAATGTCATCCTCTGTACCATTATCAAACTTGCTTATTCCTTCAGTGAAAGAGGTGAATCCAAGCACAGATTTTACTTTTTGCATTTGGAAGCAGTCTGATAGAGCTAAACTTATGTTCCCCCGTTAAACCACTTTATGATGCCAAATTGATCAGTGAGTTGATAGCTTGTGGATGAAGAATGCTAATTTCCACAATTGTAATGACTCTTCCATTTTGAATATGGCATCAACAATAAGTAGCGCCGATCACGACAAACTATTTATTGCTCAGTAAAAATTGAACGTATCGTTATTGAACAGATATTTTGATGATTTCTTACCTTCTGCTGAGTGGTGCATTCTAAAAAAAAAAAAAAAAGCAGGGGGGTTAGGATTGTGCAGCGACTACCACATAGGTTTTATTTGTAGGGGGGCTCCTGGTAAATTTGCCAAAACCTTCCAGTAAAGCTTTTGAGTGTTTAAAGGCTTGTGATTTGAGGTCCATGATGGAAGTTGGCATGTCCTAAATTAATGTAAATATTTCGCCAGCTTTCTAGTTTTTGTGTCTTTGAGCAACTTTTAGCTATGATCAATTTGATTTGGTTGTTAAGTTATGGTGGTGTTCATGTTGTAGGCTATTGCTAATGATCCAGAAGGCTCAATTGTAGGAGAAGTCATCAATTCACTTGTCAGCATGGAACGTGCAAATCCTAAATCCTGTGATGTTCTTGTCAAAAAGTTGCTTCGGCGGTTGGCAAGGTTCGCTTTCTACAAACATTCGTCGCAAAAACCTGTAAAGGAAAAATTTCAATTTTCTTGGTGCTATACCTGCTAGCCCATTCCCTAACTGACAAAAGGGAAACTTGTGCAGTTCAAAAGAATCTTCATTGAAGGAGCTGCAGGATCTGGCAGGCGACTTGTTCAGCAAGTCAGCTTTGGAAGAAACTCGAAACAAAAGTGCGGCAACTGATGACTGGAGGACGCAGCAGAACAAGGATACCTACTCAAATAGCAATTTAAGCCCACTTGCAAAATTTCTTCTCTCCAGGTATACAGAAGTAGTTTGCCTCCTTGATCAACTTTATTTTCAAAAGTAGTAGATGTTTTTAAAAACTCTCTCAAGTAGACCAAGTCAGTTATGAATGCATATGTGACTTGTACTGAAAAACGTGTCTGATAAGTTTGTATATCTCTGTTCTATGAGGGGCCAGGTTGTTTAAAATTAAAGAAAAAAACTGCTTTTAGTTAAGTTTAACAGTCGAATTGTTAGGATGATATTAAGCTAATCATGAGACTTTCGTTAGAAATAAAAAAAAAATTTATAGGTTTTTTACTAAGCTATCCCAAATAGATTATCAAAATTAGCTTTTCCTTCACATCCCTTGTGTGTTTAGCTTAAATTCTCTCAACAACTTTCTCATGTTTAACCTAACTAAAATCATTTCTTTTTAATCTTAAACAAGCTTGCTCTTAACTAAGCTGATTTGTTGAAGAGCTTTTTACCTCTTTCTTGGCTCCTTTCTCACACCTATTATGTGGCTTTCTTGTTTCACAGATGGCAAGGTCAAGTCCCAAAGGATCTAAATCCAACTTAAGTAGAGGACGTTTGGTGGTGGTGGTGTTTTCTGTTTACCTATTTGCTTACTGATTAAATGTACATAGATCATTGTAAGAAATTGGTTTTGTATGTTATATTGTCAATTGTCATCATCATCATTATTCTATTTCTTTTTCTTCATTGTTTTTAGGCCTTGATAGTGAGAGTAACGCTGTATAATTAGGGGTTTGCTCATTGACATAGTAATTGTAACATACAACCATTAATTCGAATTTACAGATGCTTTTCTCTTTGGAAAAATCAGACATATTATCGTATTTTGCTGACCGAGCTCCAAAAAAAAAAAAAGGTGTTTTGGTTGCGCGTGATTTTTTTTAAAATAAAGAATACATTATTATTGTGTTCTTATAAAGTTATAAATTTTTAATTGGTCTCTTTGAAGTTTGAATATCTCATGCTTGCCTTCGATCACTATTCTTAGTCAATATAATCCCCATACATGTCAACTAGACAAAAAATTGACCATATTGCTAATTAGAATGTCTTCGGAGAACTGAAATCATCAAATTCAAACAATTCTTCTCGAATCATCAACTTGAATTTTATTTTATTTTTATGAACAATGAAAGCAACCACTTTATTTCATAACATATGGGATTTTATTAGTGTTGCTGAAAAAAATGTAAATCCTTGGCATTTTATTTTAATTATAAAAACGTTACAAATCGAAAACAAGAAGCTAACAAATTACCTTTAATCAGAGCATTCAAATAAAAAAAAAATCCAATTAAAAGTACTTCTCAAAAAATAGAAGTTTAGATTTTTTTTTGGATAAAAATCAATATATAAATAAGTAAATGAAAAGTTACAGTGATGAAGTACCAATGATAAACAAATTTAAATGAATAAGAAATAAATAAGAATACAAATATTTATTTTTATATATTATATTAAGGGGTTAATATGCAATTTAAATTATGAATTATAGGTTTAGGGATAATTTAGACTCTAAACTTTTAAAATGTATATTTTAAATTTTAAGTAATTAAAATTGGAGCAATTTAGTCCCTATTATTAATTTTGAATAAACATCTGTTAGTTTTTTAAAATTAGAGTCTAATGTGTGATTTTTTTCAAATAAAGATATAAGAGAGAGAGATAGTAAAATTTGGTAAAAATTATATATTAAATCTCAAATTTTAAAAAACAAACATTTATTTAAATTTAATGATAAGGTGAAATTGTCTAACTTTAATTGTTTAAGGCTTAATTTATATTTTAAAAGTTTAGAATTAAATTGACTATGAACCTATAGTTTAAGATTTGAATTGCACACCCTATATTAATCTATGTGTAATTTGAAATAATAATGTATAATTTTAGAGTTTAATAATTAATAGCCAATAAATACCATGATGTCACCAAAGGAAAATTAAAAAGAAAAAACCATGAAATAGCAAGAAGCAAGTTCGACTTCAGAGTTCAGACACGGAATGGCATCGTGGCTTTTGCTCAAGCGGCTTACGGTTGCTCATGCACCCACCCTTTCCCGTCGCTTCATTCCTCTGTCATCTTCTGTGTTCAGTCACTGCTCTTCATCTTCTTCCTTTTTCACAAGCTTCAAACCAAGAAACCGATGTTTATCCCAAAGGAAGATTTCCTCAACTTCTTCTTCGGAGGCTCTAGTAGGCGATTCCCTTGCTATATCTTACCTTTCGGTTCTAATTCATTGTCCCAAAGATGTCGCAGTAAGCTTTCAGTTCCTTTATTCATTTTCTCATTCTTTTGATGTTAAGTTTAAATCTTTTAGCTGACAAAGTTCAAAAATTTGAAGTCACCCATGGGCCTTGGCGTGAAATGAGTGTACGTATCATTCATGGGTTTCTTGCTTCTGACTGGTGTTTTCCCCCTTAATCTTTTTGGTATGTCTTTCAACTACAGGACACAAATATCAATATGGACCAAACACGTGATATTTGGGGTCTTCTGTTGATTGCTCAACGACTGAAATCCTTTATGGGCTTCTTCTCTTTCTTGACTGATGTTTGAAAAATTGGACCAAACGTATAAAGGTTTTTATGTATGTGAGCCACTGGTATAAATGTCACCAACTGTGGAAAGAAATATTCTATTGGCTAAAATTAGTGTTCTAAACAGAATCCACTAAACTCAAATGTCATTTACGACAATTCTGCGTTAAATGGAGCACATTTGCTATACTGCATTGTTAATGTAGTTGAAATATTAAAAAAGAATGATGAACTAGACTGCGATAATCAATTTTGTTGTACTAAAACATATTGAGCCCGTCAAAACTTTAGAATGTTTGACTGGAATTCCTCTTCTTTTTCACAAGGATGGGCTTGCAGATGCTCTTTATGCTTTGGCGCAAGTTCTGCCAGCATGGATGAGGACGATTTCTGTATAAATGCTGAAGAGGTAGAAATTTGCCACTTTGACTACATTTTTGTCCCTTTTTTGGGCATTGTTTTCTGGTTTCTCAACTCTCGTATTGGACATATACTTGATTGTAGATAACATTTTCGTCTTAGAAAATTGAAATTAGGCTATTGATGGCAATAAATACAGTGTAGAATGAAAATGGTATTATTAAGTTTTGATATTTGATTTATAATGTTTATGGTGTCTAGCCTCCTTGGTTTATAGGCTACATATGAATATCAAGAAATAAAATAATGGAGTTGTGAGAGAGAGAGAGGAGAGAGAGGAGAGAGAGCAATAGCACTTTCTAGGTCTTGAATTTAAATAAATCTAATTCTAATTAAGCAACACGAAGTAAATTTTAACTCTTATCATCGAGTGGTACTTATATTGGAAAATTTTTTAGCCAACGCGCTGGTATAAGGCAATAAAGTGCTGCGCCCCCCCCCAAAAAAAAAATCATCTTCGTATCATTGACCATCTAGATGGGCTATTGCCCTAACCATTATCTAGTCTCTGTTCAGCGATGTATATAGCACTTTGGAGCTGTATGATATTACTAATGTTACTCAATGCTAGAGTTTGGTGTTGTAAATAACCTAATCAAATTTTACTAGCCACTTTTGCAGGAATCATTTCATCCAATAGAGGTCACTGAAGACCTATGGGTTGTACCCAAGTGGAGAACTCCACCTGTATGTTGTTACGTTGCTAATCATGCTTGAACACTCTCCACATGCACACAACATGCATGAGGTCTTATATACATTGTTACACCCAAGTTCACTATTTTCTGGATCATTAGTCTCTTATCATTATCAAACAAAAACGTGGACTCAGCAGTTTCTTCACATGTACAGGATAATCAAGCAACTAATATAATTCTGAATCCTGGACTAGCGTTTGGACAGGAGAGCACCCAACTACTAAACTGAGTCTATTACTCTTACATGGCTGTATAAAAGGAGGAGAATACATCCTGGACTATGGCACAGGCTCTGGAATTCTTTCAATTGCAGCACTTAAGGTATGTACTTGATGATAGGCTGACCTTAGAATTTGAAGAGTGAAGAAGCACCATGCAAATTATTTTAATAGCGCCTGTCCTGAGAATGCAAAGTGAGATACTTAAGAACTAGTAGAGCCAGCAAGGCCGTGTTAAAGGATATTGAGCCTAAGACAAAATGAGTAAAGGGGCCAGACATATAATAATTTATTGATCCTCATACTTTCTGTTTGACATTTTTTACCTCTAGAAATAATTTAAAAAAAAAAACACTCAGTATTTTGTATTTTAAAAAATAAAGCTTGGATTAAAAAGGAACAAACACACCTAGTAGTAAGTATTGCAGAGACGAAAACATAAATCTCTTACTCAATAGTGTATGCTCCTATGCTCTGGTTGGATACAAAAATATAAAGAAGATTGCAGTGAAAAACGTGTATCTGATGCTTTCCTTAGCTTTAATTTAGAATATAAACAAGAAAAGAGGGAAAAGTGGAAGAGTGAAAACAAAAGGTGAGAGAGAGTTAGAGATGATGATGTTAGGATAAGAATTGTAGAAAGAGAATAAATAATAATTAATAGCCTGGGGCCAACCCAATAATTAAATATTATGTTGAGAATGTGAAAGATGTTTTCAATGGAGAAGCAATTAGGGCTTTGCTTTTTTGGCTTGGCATTTATTACATAACGATACAAATACATCTATTTAATCTATACATACTAGGCGTATTCAGGGCTTTTTCTGGGGGAAGGCAATTGTATAGCTTGCCTATGGGCTCCCAGGTCTTGAGAGCCAAGATTACTCTTGTGGTCTTGGGACATTGCTATGTAGTCCCAATCACATGTATTTCTAAATGCAGTTGTTGAATGTTATGTGTTAGTAACTATGTTTTCTGATTCCACTTAATTTTTCATAATACTAACAGCATGAATATCTTGAGTAGTTGTTTGTCAATCCACCTTCATAATATCCAGGTCTTTTTGTCCTATAAGTTTTAAGTTTGCCTTTTTCTTGTGTTTTAAGTTTCAAAAAAACACTGCAAGGATCATGCATGAGTATTGTCTTGCTCTTTCTTTACATTCTGCTTATGCTTTGTATTCATACCAGCTGACTCTTCAATTCCCACTTTGCCATATCGTGGTAGCTTGGTGCTGCGTTTGCTGTTGGAATTGATATAGATTCTCAAGCGATTGCATCTGCATCTCAAAATGCGACCCTAAACAATTTAGGACCGGAAAAAATGCAACTGCATCTGGTACCTGGAAAAAAAACCTCCCTTCATGCGGGCTGTAGAAGGAAAAGACAGATCTGAGATAGAAGTTGCTGCAGAAGAGAATAAGTATGATGTGGTTGTTGCAAATATACTCTTAAATCCTCTACTAGATCTTGCAGATCAAATTGTCTCTTGTGCAAAACCTGGAGCAATTATTGGTCTCTCTGGCATTTTATGTGAACAGGTGACTTTAAAGTTGACATAATGTAGAATTTCTTTTTTCTTTATTCAAGATGTAGCTTTCCCTTTCCCTTTTCACCAAGTTGTACGAGAGATTCTCAAGTAGACCAAAATAATCACCAATAAAGTTTGTTCTGATAGGAAAATTTACTTTCGACATATTTGCTGTCTATTTTATAAATGATTTGGTTTGTTCGTCTAGGTCTCTCTTAGAACTGTTCCGATTTTTCCTAAGGCCAAGACCAATAAATGATGGGAACACTTAAATGTGATTGTTTTTAATGCAGATCCGATACATCATAGAAAGATATTCACCTTTCTTGGAAGGCATAGCAGTGTCGGAAATGGATGGTTGGGCTTGTGTTAGCGGCAGAAAAAGAAGTAATTTGGATGTGTGCTAACATCATCTTTGATGCAAGATTGCAAGTGGTGGGAGACATCTCTGACCTGCCATTTACTGGTGACCTGCAAAATTTGGAAAAAATTGCATTGAGATCCCCTAGTTGCATACCTTGAATTGCTCTTTGAACATTTATTCTTTCAAAATATATATATGTATATATAATTTCAATCATTTTTCCCTCTTCTAATTTGTAAGACATGCACAATGTATTGCAACAGTAATTCTTGAATCCAAGTGGGGCCTAACAGAACAGAACTCATTTTGTGGTTTTTTTTTTCCGAAAACTGAATATTTCGTTTTCTTCTGTGACCAAAGGAAAAATTGGTTTATAAAGATACTGCTTTCACGGCGAAGCATAATAGATTATGTCATTAGTAGACAAGAGGAGTAGATTCTGCATTTAGAGGTTATCGTAAGGACATTAACCTTCCAAGTTCCAAATTTTCTCTTTTTGTTTGGGGGCCCCAAATTTCCATATATTTTGTCGTACATTGAACAGCACCGTTTCATTACTTTCATTGTTTCCCTCGGATTCATGTTGCAATTTGTTCTGAGGAGCTTTGAAAGAGAGGTTTAGGTGTAGTGGATTCTCATAACTTAACAACTTATCGGTCACTTATTGATATTCTGAGCTGCAGATAGATAAGCCTAGTGGGCATCAGATGTCTGAATTCAATTCAAATTGAGAATAGCCCTGAACTTCGTCTTGGCCAAATATTCAAGTGGGTTCGTCTTCGTATATAATTAATATACGGAGAGGAGGAGGAAGGTGATGAACAGAAGAACAGTATTCCCGGTGTTTCTTGGGCTCATTGCTAATCTGACTCACAAAGTGAGCAATTTCAGAAGCATCCCTACCTCTAGGGTTCTCTTTTAGCAGCCACTTCCGTGTTGGATCATGATACCCTATTTATAGGATGGTCCGAGTAGGGTTACCTGCCTCGATCAACTTTCTGTGGCACTTGTAGAATGACGTTGATGCAATGATGCTTACCAGAACCAGTTTGACAGTCCCCATTAGGACTTGTTTCATCGTTTAATCTTCCTCCCCTAGTTAACCCTATTTTCTTTCACAGCTGAATTAATAACACATGATATTATGACTTCCTTTTATTCATCTTTTTCTTACCAAAGTTAGTGGTGGTTTACATGACAACTGGTTTTTCAGGCTTTAACTTTTCTTTTATGTACTCACAGACGCACACAATTATTTAGTATTTAATATAATCAAATTCTCCCAATTTTATTGTTTATGATAAGAAGCATTATGGAACATTCTCAAGTTATCTAATCCAATGCCCTTTTGTCTGAGAATTGATTCCGAGTCATCACATCTCTCTCTTCCAACACAGGAAGTGAGTGATGATGGAGCAAATCCCTTGCTGCGCCATTGTTAGTTCTACAAGGTAATCATCATGATAATCTGTGGCCACTTGTTGGGACTCGTCTGTGCAGAATCCTGTGAGGCCATCTTCGATAGTGATGTCTTAATGCAGTCACTGGGTATATTTCTCACGTATGTTGAGAAAATATATGGTTCCGGAGAAAAATAGGGAGAAAGGTGAATAGTGTACATATTGTACGAGTTCGTACATAAAGAAAAAGGAACAAATTGACACGCAGAGAAGGGAAAAGGAGGAGAGGAAAGAGGGTTGAGTAAGGTAAGGTGGGGAGAAGAAGGTGCTCGTGAATATGAATGGGAGGAAAGTAAATTAAAAGGAAGAAGAAAGAAAGGCTGACATTGAATCTAGTTTCCATCTATGCTGAAACTCGCGTCCGCCCTTTTATCCGTTAATCCTAATCGATATGGATCCTGTCAAATTGAAACTGACACAAGCTTCAAGGGCCTCCCCTCCAACCAAACAAATTCTTAAAAAAACAATTTGAATATGCTCTCGTATGTAAACTTGTCCATCCAAGTTGTTTCACATAGGGTTGGGTAAAAGTTCAGTTGTTTTGGCCAATCCAATCCAATCCAAATCGAGCAAGTCTAATTTAACCCAGTTGAGTAAAAAAATTGATTCAAAAAACTAAAGAAATCAAAAGAATCAAATTAACTTCTCAAGTTAGATTGGATAGAAAATCAAGCTCTTAAACCACTTGATGTGATCTGATCTTATAAAATTATTTTAATATAATTTTAATTATTTTTAATATATTTGAATAATTTAAAGTTTGAAAGTAGCATTTATTTCATTCACATTTAACCATTTTATTTAATATAATTTTAATTTAGGTTGTTGTTAAATTGTTGTTATAATGTATATTATACATGTTAAAATTTGTTGAATGTTGTTACTATAGTTGAAGTTATGAATTTAAATAATGTGAATTGTAATTGAATTTTTTTTTTGGTTATTGTGAGATATTGTTATGTATTTTTTATGATTATAAGTATTTTGATTTTTTAATTGAGTTTATTATGGTGAAATAAATTGTTGCCTATAATATATAAAAAAAAAATTAAGTAAGTACTGGACTATCAAAACTAATCTACCAGTGCTATATATTAAATTCAATCTTATTAACCATCGAGTTATAACTATATTAGATCGAACTACAGATTTTTTAATCCAATTTTTTTTTTTATAAAAGAAATTAAACTTTAAGTTATGTCAAAGTTCAATCTTGTTCAACCCTTTGTGCAGCTTTGGCTTCAAGGTTGAGCCATCACTTTCCATCTTTACACTACACTGGGTATTCTATGCAAGATATTCTCATGTTCATTCGCAGCGGTTTGGGAAAATAATAAAAGAAAGCAGCTTTCGCCTTCATTCTGAACATTTCTATTGTCGAGCACTCCTTGATTACGCATAGTCCTACCAAGTCGAGGGCGAGGGCTTTTATTTGTAACGGTACGGGATGTTCCTGATGCGGATAGTGTCATTAATTTGCAAGAAAGAGACTTGGCATTTCAGACACAGGGACGCACCACATCCGTGTGGAGACTAGCGACCCTGCTGTATCACTCCTCCCCATCTCATTCGGTTGCTTTTAATTATTTTCTCATACATTAAATCATTATTTTAGGAGTAATTAAGGAGTAAAAAAAAAAAAAACAGAGAGAGAAAGAGGGAGTAAAGGGGAAGGGAGTGGGGTCAAAATCCGCCGACGCGCCGATGCCCGCTCTCACTGTCTGTCCTCTTCAGTGGTGACCCACACGTGATTCCCTCCGCGCGTCTCTATTCTACTCGCTCGTCCTCGGTTTCGTGGTATCCCTACATCCCCTGCTTCCGCCCCATTCCCCCCGGTAGGACCCACCCTCTCTCTAGCGCCTCCACCTTCCTTTGCGTCTCTAATCTTTCATCTCAATTCTCATCCCGGTTTTCTTAAACCAGGAACAATAATTAATTGTGGGGCCGGTTCGGGTCTTGACTCTTCTTTCTCTCCATCCTCCCTCCCTCCCACCTCTTCCTTCCTTTTCAATTATTATCTAAATTCACGCTCCTTGTAAAGTTTTATTTAAATCCATGCACGTACAGTCCTAATTCGAATCTTCATTTTCTGTCTCGATGGTTTCTTTGTCCCGCTGTACTTAAATGAATGTCCACGCGTCTTCCTTTTTTTCTTTTGGGGATCACGCAGGCGGCTTCCATTACAAACACAATCTTGCTGTGTACGGATTTTCTGGCTCAGTATAAAATGTGTAGTTGTGTATATCATGTTTGGATGCGTATCTCCATTCAGTGTCGATGAATTGCACGATTTCTTGTTTGAATAAAAAAAAAATGTTGAGAATAATTTATTAATGAGGGACGCAGAGTATGTGTCAAGGAAGAATTGAGGGCAGGTGACAAGGGGATCATAGAATTGACAAGCGCACAATTGAATTCAACCGCTCTGGGTTGACAGTGTCCACGTCTTGCAGGCACTGAACATGAAGACGACGCTAGTAAGCCTCGAGGAGTCACCCATAGTACATGTTGGCAGTAAAATCAATGGACGACCTCCAAAGCCGGCACGTTATTATTGCTCCTCCAGTCTATTTATAAGTCACATTTTAAAAGGTACATTTGATCCCATTTATAAGTCATGGTGCGTCTTTTTAGATAATATTTAAGAGGTATTTTTAAAATTATCCTTCATGAGAGAGAAAAAAATAACAGGACATTACTTTTTAGATTTATTTATAGGGGCTTGTTTGGAGTTTTACTTACTTTTATTCCTTATATTTTTATTGTATTGATATTGATGAGGTTGGTAAAAATGACTTATAAATAGGATCCGAGGAGTACTAGCTAAACTGGACCCTCCAACATCGTATTTATATCCGTACATGCTGCCAATTCCTCTCTCTCTCTCTCTCTCTCTATCACTTGGTCAAATAAAGCGGTTCATCAGCCAATTTTTTTTTCCTTTAAAAAATATGGATACAAGGGTTTGATTCACCGAATCATAATACGCTTTTTTTTTTTTATTTAACTGGATGTGATCGGGGACCAAATAGTGGCAATATTTTAAAGCAGAAAAAAGACGAGTATGATGGCGGGCACATACTGGTACATGCATGGCATGGTCCTGATTTTTTTTTTTTTTAAAGAGTGTATAAATTAAAATTTAAAAAATGGAAAGAATGGAGGGAAGGCATTGGGGAGGGTAGGAAATAAGAGGGTGGGGGACAAGGGAAAGAAGGAGCGCTGAAGCATCACGTGAAGACAACATGAAGTCCGACAGCTGCATAGTCAACACGCAAATGCGGGTGTGGGCCCCCGTCCCCTTTCCATGCCTCCTCCTCACTGGCTCTCTTCCCCACCACTGCCTTTTCGCCGTCGGTGCCGCCTCCCCCACCCCCTACCCCATTTATACCACTCTGTTTTTTTTTAACTCTAAATTCAATTTTATTTTCGACCTCCTAGACCCAAATGTTTCTCCATCAATTCTATTCTTTTTTTTTAAAAAAGGCGGTTAAAACATTTAGCTCCTGGAGCCTGTATTGAAGCGCATCGAGACTCGCAACCCCAAACAAGACGCCTAATCTCACCATCACGAGGCCACCTCACCTCTATCATGCCTGTTTGCCGATTAAAATCCTAGGTTGGTAAGGCGGCGAAGTTGGGTGGTTTCAGGGGCAATAATAAGGCAGCCAACAGAATTGTGAGCTCACTGTAGCACTACTTTTTAATGCATCGTGTGCCCGATTCATACGATGTTTGCCCGATTCTAATGCTGTTTAGCCTGGACTTCTTTTTCTAGTCTTCCTTCGACACAAACAGTCGCGCACTTTGTGGCTTTTCTCAATCACCAAATACTACAGTACGTTATCTGTATTATTATATTTGTTTCCAGCTAGTGGCGCATCCGATGTATTCAGGATAATACCTTTTGTCCACATCTCATGCCCTTGTTCCAATCCCTCCTCGTATAAAAACAAATTCCATATCAATTATTTTTCATTCTTGTTCCTGTATTGTACCTACAGGATATTCAATCACTTTAATATTAACTCCGCTCTTTTGCCCTCCCTCCTTCTCTATATATTTTGAGTTCAAGGATAGATGGAAGAAAAATCGAATTAATGTTGAGAATGTCTTTTTTTTTTAAAAAAAAAAGGGACCTTGTAATGCAGCTTATTATATTGCCAGATAAATACCATTTAATTAAAATAATAAATATACCAAAACATAAAATTACAAGAACAATATATATGTATAAACTACGAATAATATAGTTCATTGAGATCTTGTCCTGCGGGTCATGCTATCCTTCAAAATTACTGATGATTTCCCTCACGCTCCAAATAATTATTCATGATATTCGTGCCTCCCTCCTCTTTTGAAAGGGAAAAATAAAAAAAAGAAACTCGTTGATTAAAACATGCCGTTGTTTGAAGGAGGGGTCCACAGAGACTCAAGAAAGGTTATTTATTTCATCTTCAAGCTAAATAACATACGGACTCGGTTTAGATTGTTCGCACGACATTTAATGAGATTTTATAATTTATAATTTATACCGTATAAAAAAATTTAAAATTAATTTATTATCTTTGCATGGGCCATTTAATAAATTAACTGACTCATTCCAAATTACATTTTCTATTTTAATAGATTTAAAAATAAAAATGTGTCTTCATATTACTTCGAATGTTGCAAAATTATGTACGACAGTTGGGGGCTAACAGCAGCGTTGCCTCGTAGCCTATAATTTAAAGAAATCCAAACCAATCAGCAAACGAGAGACCCACAGAAAAATGCCTAATCAAACGCGCAACAATGCCGGCGACATGTCTGTCAGATCTCAACTAACGTAATCCGTAAGGACCACGTCCAGCTATTTTCCTGTTTGGTTAATCGGAAAATCCAACAAAACCACGCCACCAAACCAACCGTTTGTTAATCTCAAATCTTGTTTCTCGATTTCTAAACACCACCACCATGCGACGACCCAAACGGTACTCTGCTCTGCTCTGCATAACTTAACCATTTAGCCAGTAGAATTAAAACCTTCTACTAGACCGCAGCTTAAAGCACGCCGAAGAGAAAATATTTGAATGAGACTGAAAATGAAATTAATTATATATCTGGTCAACATAAATTGCAGAAACAACAGTGAGAATCTCTTAATAACTTCTCTGTTGGAAACCCCCCCCCCCCAAAAAAAATAAAAAACGCCTACTTTGGGTTATATAATCTATATACACATCCGCTAGAGTTAAGCCTGATGAACAAATCCGAGCATTTCAGCTACGTCGTACTCGAACTCGAACGCCCCCTGTCTCTGTCTCCATAGAGGGCGGCTCTCTGTTCTTCCAAAATGGTCGCTAGGAAAACACTCAAAACAGTATTAAAGTTATGGAATGACGGTCAGAAAAGAGATCTTCTGCCAGCACGTCTTCAAGCGCGGCCAGATCAAGCAACCTCCGCCGGGGGAGCAAGGTTAAGGTCGAGATCCAGAAGCCTCCGAGGCCGAGAAGCACGATCGTAGTCCACCACAGACGATGAATCGGAGTCACTCTGCGCACTGCCCGCTGCCGGACGTAAATCAGTCACTGGGCGGTCAAACCCACACATCTCGCGGCGGGCAAAGCTTCTCATGCCGTCAGCCCTCGCAAACGCGTCGAAAAACACAACGGGGCGAGCCAAGGGGATCACCGGGTACCCCAAGGCACCGACGCCAGCAGAAAGTGGCGTGAGGCTGAGGTCTAGCGGCGGCGGAGATGAAGAATCGAGGGTGCTGCTCTGGCTAGGACTGCGGGTAGAGTTGGTGTTATTTACAAGCTCAGAAGGAGTGGGGAAATTGGTCTTGGCCTTGGCGCCACGGAAATCGCGTGCAGCGGTGTCGTAGGCACGCGCCGCCTCCTCAGCGGTGTCGAAAGTGCCAAGCCAAACCCGAGTTTTCTTACCGGGGTCACGGATCTCGGCGGCGTAGCGCCCCCAGGGTCGCTTCCTGACGCCTCGGTAGCGAATCTCTTTGGCGGTGAGGGTGGGGTGGTTGGGTACGGCGGCAAGAGTGGCGGGCGGGTCTCGGGGAGCCATTGGGAAGGGAGATGTGGAAAAGTGAGTCCAGGCAATGAGGGATTAAGGATGAAGAAAAGATGGAGACAATGTCTGAGGAATTAGCAAAGGGAGTTGGAGGCGTTTTATAGCCAAGAAGGAGAGGGAGGGAGCCAGAGTGTGTGCGTGCGTGTAATAAAGCTACGCTCCTTTTAGGCGCTTGACGCTTACCCTCAACGTGGCTTCCATAACACATTCCCACTTGGGTGGATAGTAATACTATGCTCACCACTCTCCACTCCTCTCCTGCCACTTTCCTCTTTTCCCATTTTATCCTTTTTCTTTTCATTTCACCCGCCAGATTTCTCTTCTTTTGTTAATTAATTTATTAATTATTTAATTATCATCACCATACTTATATTTCCCGTGACCAACAAACCCTGTCATAAGAATTGATGAAACAAGGTTCCGGTGGTCTGATATCAAATCTCAGATACGAGGAAAATTGCCATAAAAAGCTTAAGTTCAGACCCATGTGATTGGTGGATCTGATTATACTCAAATTGATTGAGGCTTACCTCTCCTTCAAAAATTAACTTGTTCTGTCCAACACTCCTCTTCAAAAAACATAGATGGTTGCTCGTTAATGACTAGTTCATGATTTTTAAAAAAAGTTAATTTTTTTATTAAAAAATGTAAGGTATTTTCTCTTGTAATAGATGTAACACATTTTTAATTAAATGTAATCCCTCAATAAATAATTATTTGTGTTCAAAGTAACCCTTCTTTTATATTTATCCTTATTTAATATAATATTTTATCTTAAAATAAACATAAAGTGAGTTATTTAATAAAAATATTTTAAAAAAATAATTATATTTTAAAAGACTTAAAATACTTTATATTTTTTAATATATAACCTCTCAATAAATGTCTTATATATTTTAATGAAGGGAGTAGTTGAAATATTAAATTTCTTTAAAACGATTTTGTATCTTTTTAATTATATTTTTATTAAACTTTTTATATAAATATTTTAATAATAATAATAATTAAAATTTTAATAACTAAATATTTAAAAAGAATAATAAAATAGCATAGGCATAGTTAAAAAAATTATTAACTATGTAATGTCTTATATTTTAAATCAAATAAACATTTTAGAAAATGTCTTATTCCATGAGATACAAGGAGTATATAAAAAGGAGAATGATAGAGAAGTCTTAAAAAAATTAATTAATTTAACTTAAATTTTAAATGCTAACTTTTAAAAATTTGCAAGTTCAGCTTTCACTTTTGCAATTTTCTTCTGATGGATTTGTAACTTATGTTTTAAAATTTAAGAGGACAAACAAATTTATTTATTATTCAATCCCGTTAAAATTTAAAAAATGAATTATAAATTTATCACAATAAAATTATAAAATTAAAAGATGGACTTACAAATTTACAAAAGTTGATTAAAGCTGAAAAAACAGGCTGTCTCGACCCTATAATGGACTCGAGCCTATAAGGCCAACCCGTTTAAGCATGAATTTCCTTTGAAGAGCTTATATTTCAAACTCGGCCTTAAGTATAACAGGTTTAGGTTCGGCCTTACATGTTTTAAGCCCTTTTATTTTTTAAAAATTAAAAATAATTCATTCATTAAATTATAATATAAAATATTATTTTAATATTAAATCACATAGACAGCATCTTAATTCTTAATATCAATAATATCTTGATTATGCAAAAATTCTCTTATTTCAAATAATAAAACATTAAAATTTATAAATTATTAATTCAAGTAATACAATACAAAATTATATAAATATAAAAATAATCTATTATTAAAAAATATAATTTAAAAATAGTAGCACACATATGTAACATGACTCAAATTATTGTCTAAAATCTAAATTAGATTAAAAAATTATTTTTTTGTCCAAATATATCATCGTTTAGAATTAAACAAACCAAATTTTATCCACAAAATATTAAACAAATCAAAGTATTGTATAAATTTTAATTCTAAAAAAACTACTATAACACCTAAATATTTGAAACATTATCAATAATATTATCATAATAAATAAAATTTTAAAATATAAATCTTAGTTCATTAAATTGACCCTTATAAACTCGCATTTTATTTTAAAGCTCTAAAACTCAAACCTAACTTTAATAATTATTACATTTAAATGAGCTAGCTTTACATGCTTGACCCGTTTTTTCTAGTTCTAAAGTTGATAACCAAGATATAAATTAAATTAATTGATCATTCTATATCTCTCTGTCATTTTCTCTATGATATAATCTATTGGTCTATCGTTACATTCGAGAAAATTCTTGTGGGAGTGGGTTAGATGATATATGATAAATGGAATGCTCAAATCAGGTACTCCCCAAGACAAGGGATTCACTGGTTAGGGGTGCTCACGTTCATCTATTCTTACATGTGCATCACAGTTGTGCCCAAGCTTATTGGGGTGACAAGCGTTATGTATTAGTTGCTGATTTCTTAGATTATGCCTTCGGGCAGTGTTCTTATTTTTTTCCTAGTTTTATTTTTTCTAACTTTAAGCTTTGCCCGTCTCTGTACTGCAAAAAAAAAATCTAGATAAGGGTGAGGTAATTGGGAAATGGCAATATAGGCTGGCACTGGAACAGAACCTCAGATTGAATTTTACCCCAAAAAAAAAGTATGTGAGATTGAAGGAAAGGAGGTTACACGTGTCGGGGAAGTGTGGTCCAGAGAAAAGTAGACAGGGAGCGTGTGGGTGGGCGCACCACATGAAGATGATGAGACGCGGCTCCCTCACTTCAATTCAATTTAAAACCAAACCAAATCCAAAACCGAGAGGGGGGAGAGAGAGAGAGAGAGATAGATATATATTCGACTCAGTCAACGAGGTGTGCTGACTGTGCTGTGTGGAAAGGGCCGCGCCGCCCAAGCCGCGAGCGTGGCGGGTCCCGCCACGAATAATTGCTGCTTGCGAAGGTGGGCACGTGGCGAGGCGGCGTCATCCATGTAACGGCGGTTATAATCCGTGCTTGTCGTTACAACGGAACAAAGTTACTGTTGGTGCTGCCTCCGACGGAACATTTGTCGGCATGCTACACCTCCTCGCCGCGTGAGATGGATCAGCACGCGGGAGGGTACATGTGTGATTGATTGAACCGAGAAGGGCCCACACAAGAATGAGAGACGGATTATGAAGAGGGGCGAGAAGATCTGACGGCAAAGATGGGGAATGAGTTGGGATGAGGACACGTGGAGGTGATGATCCCTGAAGGGAGACAGGAATGGCCGACCCACTTAACATGAGGAGGGGACTGCCGCCCTTGAAGTTCCCAGCGACGTACTACGTGGTATTCCTATCGTACTCCTAGGGACGCCACACGTACATACTCTTACTTCCGCCTCAAAAAAATCTGAATTACTCCTCTTCTCCTGTTCACGGGGCAGAGAAGAAAGAAAAAAACTAACCCTATTTATAAGATAATTATTAATTTTTAATATTGTTTATATTTTTATTCTTAGTAAATATTTTAAGTAAAAATATTAATAACAAAATTTAAAAATATTTATTAAAAGTAAAAAATTATTAAATTTTAAAATAAATTTAATAAAATTTAAGATTTTTTTATTTCAAACATTTAAAAATGACTTATAAATAAAAACAGATAGAGTATTATAGAGTAGGTATTGATCTGAAAGTATATGAAAACATCAAAAATAAAATATTAGGTTCAAAATCTTTCATATATTGAACATATTATAATTCACTTAATTACTATTATTTATCTATGATTTTTCATTTATTTTTTAACCTTCTTTTCTTAACCAGAGTTTAACCATCTCTGTTTACAAAAAAAAAAAATCTACATGTAAATGTATAATGTATACTCCTATTAAATTAATTTTTAAACAAGAAATTGATTAGACAACATTAAACCCTAATTTAAAAAAAAAAATACACAACAATGAGACGCCTGAGGCTAAGTCAGGTGTTGTGAGATGGGATGGGGCGTAAATAGAATTCAACACTGTGAATCCTCTCAGCTTATTAAATGAAATTATTAGTTGCCACTTGTAGGCGGAATATAAATAGAAAATGAAGTGTGCAAAAATTTCAAATTCATATCCTAAAAACATAAAAAATAAAAATTTCCAGGAAAAAAAACAACTTTCTATGAACTTCATCTTTCAATTATTTTTGAAATACAGTAAGTAGTAGTCTTTTTTTTTAACAAAAAATTTAAATTTTTAAATATCAAATGATTAATATTTTAAAGGAACTTTGGAACATCACTTTCTTGAAACCTGACCGAAAAGATATGGGTAATGTACATTATATATGGATTGAAGAGTGTCAGAGTATGCAGCGAACCACCGAATTGAATATGAAGGGGGGAGAGTTGATACGTTGCTGAGATTGGCAGCAGGAACACAGCTGAACCGATTCATATTAATGGAGTGGATGTGACCACCACCAAGTCTGGCACTCAATAACATCAATTAATACATTTATTGTTTGGTATTTTCACAAAATTCCTGTGTGGGACAGCGTTGTTTTAACCGTCGATGTGACTTGGAAACCCCAAAATTAATGACGAAAATGATACTGACTTCGTGTTACTATATTTTCAGAACGTTGCTCATATCATAACACTGACAGGTTATCCACAGAATTACGATATTAGTGTAGGCTAAACCCTTGTTGAAGCATATTAGATAGCCCATAATTGTCGCTCATTTATTTAATTTGTCCCTTAATTCAACACTTTCTGTTGACAAACGACTCAAGTAAGGATTTTCAGATGCTTCCTTATCCATGCGCAGGCAACAAAATTAGTTTTAAAATATTAAGCGATCGATGTCTGCGTGCCACGCAAAAAGAAGCAACCTTCTTCCTTCTTCCTAACTCTTTTTACTTAATTAGAGATGCAATTCAAATATGAAGTCTTCTAGTTTTTGTAATTACAATTAATTGGTAACTTAAAAATGCACCTATTTCATATAGATATCACTCACAGCTAACCTTTTCCCTCGTCGATTATTCGTGTTTTTGAAGTACTGTGAGAACCGTGGCCGTCTAAAAACCTGTAATTTGGCCATTGAAGCAATTCCCTTATACCTCAT